TTTTTTTTTTTTTTTTTTTTTTTTTTTTTTTTTTGTGTAACGTGCAAGTATTCATTTGAAAAGTCCTTTAGGATGAAAGGAGCGATACAAATTTATTCTACTTGGATGAGAACCAGAAGCCAATGTTTGTGTAGTACAGATGTATTTATAGAGCAACTACGCGTCCGGACGCAAAGCAAAATCTACTGAACTCTCGGGTCTGCCCACGAGAGGGTGATGCAGTCGGTTCACCTTCGGCTTTGCCAGTAGGAAAAGGTGCTGCTCTTTGTGTCTCTAGTGGGCCAGCGAGCTGTTTTTTTCAGCGTTTGCACCACGATTGGTGTTTGGGGGGGTGGGAGAAGGGAGCTACCGCATCCCCCGGGGCTACGGCTGATCCTGCCCCAACCTGAGTCACCTTGGCATAGATGGGCTTTTCTTCCACGAGTATAGGAAAACTGATGGCACCAGCATTATCCTGCCTCCAGGGGCCAGGCGTTCTTCCTGAGCCTCCAGCCTTGTGATTTCTGTATTTCTTTACCATTCTCTTTATGTTGGCCACTAGCCCTGCTGCTCAGAGGAGCCACCCCAGTGGAATTGGCAGCGCGCGCTTTTCTACACGTGGCTGTTTGCTTTCCTGGCTCGTGAAGGCTGGAGTTCCGCTCTAGGCGAGGTCTTTGGGCAGCGTGAGCGCGAGTGACTTTGCTGGGAGATGCTTCCCCAGGTACGATTAGCCAGAAGGGAGCAAACCCCTCCCTTGGCCTCCCGGGTTGTCTGCGGAGCGTCGCAGCGCGGCGGCCGTTTCCAATTGCAACGTTGCACAACCGGCATGTGCTTCGTGGCGAGTTCAAGGCAACAAAACTCATGAAAGAGTCGCTCTTGTCAAGCCACAGCCACGCTCCTTTGTGAGTGAAGACGACGCTGTTGCGATGGCCGCTTCACCCAGTTTCCCTGCTGGATGGGGGAGAGCCCATCTGAGCACCACTTTTCCGTTCCCTGTCTTCTGCCCTCGCGCCGTCTCCTTTGTCCCTTTGGCTCTAAAAAAATAACCGTATTGATTTTTGACTCCACCATTGACTTCATGGGCGTCTCAACCGTCCCCTGAATGCGGGGAAAAGATTGCTGTGTTTTACAGACCCTTTGAAACATTTGAATAATTGGATTTTGGGGCTGGCAGGCTTTGTCTCTTATCGCAGGTATTTGTGTCAGCTTAGCGCAAACATGAAGATGTCATCCTTGCGGCGAATTGCATTTTTACAGCTGCCTTAATCTTCCCCCAGAGTTTCTTTGGTAAGACGAAAAGCCCTTCCCAATGGCACCAGGGTTGTGAAAGAGCCCTTTGCCCTCGCAGAGCCCCGCGTGTGTGCTCTGCGCACGTACGGCGGCCGAGGCGGTGTCTGAGCCTTGGCTTCTCGTGTGCCGGGTGGTCCTGCCTGGCCCTGACAGAGCCCTGAGCCCGGGGCGACTGCTCTGACGGGCGCTGAACGGGACCTCCGAGCCGGGCCGTCCCCAGCGGGACACGTGCTCCTTCCACCCCTTGGCTCTGAAATCCTCTTCCTGGGGAAAACACGACAGCCGGGCTGCGTGGAGGCTTCTGCGGGGAGTTTTCACTAACGGGGAAGGACTTTCCCTGGCTGGCCTCCTACCAACGCTTCGCGTTGGACTGGAAAAGCCGCCTTAGCCTTAAATGTCCCAGCTGCTCTGGGGAGGAGGATGCTCGATTAGCTCACGAGGAGTCTCCTGAGAAGGGTTTCAACTCTCGCTGACCTATCGCTCGCTCTTAGAAAAGTTGCTTCGTTTCCGTGCGTCAGCCGCTCTATCCGTGCGAGGGGGCAGGACCGCCTGGTAAAGCTCTGCGGGATCAGCGGAGGGAAGAGCAAAGCTGAGCTTTATTAACACACAGAAAGGACAGAGAGCTGCCCGGCCCCACGGTACCTCTGCCAGAGAGAACCCCTGCGGAAAACCAACGCCCGGGGATGCCAGCGCCGACCGGCCCTGGGACACAGGACCCGTCTGGCTGACACCCGCCCGGGCTCCTCGCTCAGCCTCTCCCCTCACCCTCGATCGAAAATCCCGAGGCCACCCCGAAGCCTCTCCCCCGCGGGCGCACCCCTCCTTCGCCCCGTTTGACCCCGGCCGTTTGCAGCTTCTGCCTCCGACCGGCGCTTTGCAGGGCTCCCGTCGCCGCGCCTGACGCAATCTCCACTTTGCTCTTGTCGTCGGGATGATTCATTGTCCAGATCCTCCAGGCCTCGTTGCTTGATTTTTGTCCAGGAGCCAAATACTTGTGCCTTCCTTAACCCCTTCCTGGCCTCCCTTCGGAGTAGTTGCCGCTGGGCGTTCACAGCTTTGGGGGCCTGGGGCTCCCGAGCTGCTGCAGTAACGTGTCGAGAAGCGCTGCTGGGGCCCCAGCGGCTGCTGAGTTCAGGATGAAGATGTCTTTCACCCAGCTTGACGTTTGTTAAGGCCTTTAAAGCGTAATTGCCTAATAAAATGGTGCGTGGGGGTTGGAGAAGGGGCGGAGGGGGGCTTTTCTGTCTGGGGTTGGGACGTGTCCTCGACTCGGGGGGAGCGAGGTTCCAGCGTGGTAGTAACAGTCTAGTGCCTGTCTCGGAGGCCTCGGCAGCGTGACATTAAAAAGAAGGCATTTAACATGGAAATCCCCAGAGGCAGAGATTAAAGCGAACAGGTGCTGGAAAAATGTTTCTGCATATTAGAACTTAATTAGATTTGAAAATGAATTCCAGATGGGCTAATTATGTGTGAGTTGTTGCAGGTTCTTTCTTGCAGGGGCAGGATTGTGTTTGGGAAGCTGATTCAGTCTGATTGGATTTGATTCCTGACTCTTGCGGTATCGCCGAGATCTGGAAGCGGGTTAGCTTTCGGGTGCTGTGATCTCCCTGCAAGGGCTCCGCGTCTCCTCCTGCTCCTGTCAGAGCCAGAGAGATCTGAGGCCACGAGCCACCAGGTTTGTTGCTGAAATAACCACAGGGCCAACAACCTGTCATGTTCAAGGAGAAAAGATCCTTATCAAAATCGCTTTTAAAAGGAGCTTCAAAGACTGGAAAGTAGATTTATTTTTTTTTTTAGGGTTTGGGTTTGTTTTTTTTTTTTACAAAGGGAACCGTTCCTAGGGACAGAGGATGCTTGGGGAGGGGGCTGTTGCCTGGAGGGGAGCAGCGTGCCAGAGCCTGCTCGGCCATGTCTGTCTGGGTGTACTGGGAGAGCAGAGCGTGAGAGCGGGGTGCTGGCTGCCGCGCCGCATATTTGCGCTGAGTAAATACGAACGGAACTGAGAAACGCTGATAGCGGGGGAGTGGCGTGTGCTGGGGGAAAACACGGCTCGGAGAGGAGGGTGTCAGCCCCGGGCAGCTCGTCCTGGTGCACGGAGCTGGCTTGGCTTGAGGAAAGCTGCTCAGAACCCCACGGGGG